AGTAGTATCCTTATTATTATTATTATTACGATATACTATAGCATTGCCATTATGATATTGATGATAATAATTATGATTATTATTATTATTATTATTATGCAATGCTATACTATCGTTAAGCAATTGTTGCAATGAATTCATTGTTAGTAAATCAGCCGGGTCATTATTATTATTGATTTTATTATTATTATTATTGATTTTATTATTATTATTATTGATTTTATTATTTTTTAATTGATCATGGTTACTGATCCAGTTTTGCTAAAATATTTGTATTTTAAAATAATAATAAAATAAAATTATATTTTTTAAAACTTAAAAAATTTGAATTCTTTTAATTCTAATTTTAAATAATTTATTACAATTTTTATATACTAACTATAGTTTTATAGTTAAATTATTACAGTTTTTAATTATTTATTTATTTTTTTATGAATATTAATAATTAAAAAATATTAAATAATAAATATATATATATATATTTTTAAATAAATATTTAAAATAATTTATTATTAAAAAAATACTTAATAGTTTATTATTATTTAATTGCTTTAGATAATGTTATTGTTTAAGTAATAATATATTTTATAGTTATAATTAATTTATAAGTTATTTTCTATTTTTAAAAAAATACTACATTTTATTATAATTAATTAATAACTAATTAATAACTAAAAAAAATTAAAAAGTTAAAAATTACAAATAAATTTTAATTAGATAAGCAGATAGTTATCTGTTCAAAATTAATAATTTTTTAGAAATTATTTTAATACAATAAAGTTTAACTAAATTATTAAATTATAGTTTTTAATAGTAATTTTTAATAGTATTAGTTGAAAATAATTTAAATAATAGAAAATTATAAAATTAATAATTATAATAACAAAAACAAATGTTTTCATTTGTATTAGTTTTGTAAAACAAATTAGTTAAAAATAATTTAAAAAAAAATAGTTATCTATATTTAACAAGAATTTCGCAATAAAAAAAACAAACAAAAAAATATAAAAAAAATATTATTTTGAACTAAATTGTCAAAAAAAATTGTCAAAAAATTTTTGAAAACATATTTAAATATATAATACAGTATATAATATACAGACTATTAGTTGAAACAAATATATATATAATACTAATTATTATTATTATTATTTTTCTGATAACTAGTATATACTGTATATTAAGGGCGCTATCGGTAACACTATTTAAATAAAATCAATGGTTTTTTAACAAAAAAAAAGTTTATTGAATATTTAATGAATTATTTTTTATTTTATAAAAATATAATAACAATAAATAATTGATATATTTTGTTAAATACATTATTATTATTGCACATAATTTAACTGACACTAAATATCGTAATAATATATATATATTTAAAATTATTTTTTATTTTTCAATGTTTTTCAATAATTATATTATGGATGAGTTGTTTATCTATCAATTATGAGTTTAAAACTAATTTTTGTTTTTTTTTGTTGAAAATTATTTTTTAACACTTAATAAATATCATTATTATTATTATTATTAGTGAATTGAAAATTAATTAACATATAAATGTCAAGTATTTTAATAACTTTTAATTATTTTTTTGTTATAAATATAAATTATAATTATTTTATTATGTAAAAACACAATTAGCAATTTTTTATTAAAATTATTTTTTTAAAAAATAATTTAACATAAATTTAAATACCGGAAAATTATCAATAATTAATTGTATATAATTTTTTTATTGTTGATATTTTAGTAATAATAATAATAATAATATTAATAAAAGTAATAATAATATTAATAACAGTAATAATAATAATAATATGAATAAAAGTAATAATAATAAAACAAAAATAATAAGTATTTTATATTTCAAAATAATTTATTGTTATTATTATGAAAATTACAAAAAAAAAGTTTATAGTTAAAAATCTAAAGTGTATAAAAAAATTTTGTTTAATTAATTAATTTTTTATATTATAGTTTATAGATTTAATTGTTCACTAAATTTTCAATTAAATTAAATTATTATAAACTGTAATACAATAATATAATGACTATTGTAAGGTATATTATAAAAATAATATATTACGTTTAGTTAATCGTTTTAATTTATATTTATAGTTTTAAAATTAAAATTTTTATAAAAAATATATATATAGTTAACTTTTAAATCTAAATTATACTACACATAATTATAGTTTTTTTTTAATTATTTAAGCTAAATATTAATATATATTTTTCAATTAATACTATATTTATATTATAAAACAATGTATGAATTTAATTTATATATACTCATCAATATATATATATAATATTAATCTACAAATATATAAATTATATAATATATATATATGCCATTTTAATATACAATAGTTAATTGCTAAAATTTATTTATTTATTTTTTTAAAAAATATAAATATAACATATTTGACACGTTATCTATTTAATACAAATTATTTTATTTCTAATAACTGTATAATATTTTTTGTATTACAATAGTTACAGTTTTATAAATATAATTTGCAACTAAACAAATAAAAAATAAATAAATAAATAGTCATAAATTAGTTTAATTTAATATTATTAAATAATATATTGTATAATTTATTACATAACTTAATTTTTATATCTACTTAAAGATTTATATATAGTATATATATATATATGTGTTTTTAAAAAATAATTTTAAATATATATAATATATAAATTTAAAATATTTTTTTAAATAATTGTTTAATTGTTTATAATATTATATATATATATATATTAATATATATATGAAAAAACTAACCTTGTTAACAATTTCGGACTGTAATAAACGTATATCACCATGATATGGATTATTATAATAGTATCCTTTTAAAAAAAATAATTAAAAAAAATATTTTTATAAAAAAAATATGATTTTTATATGTAAAAAAAAAATAATATTATTTATAATTTTATATAATAATTTTTTTTATTATACTTACCGTTTGTATATCCTATGGAAATAAATAAACAACATAATAATAATAATAGAAAATTTAAATAATTTAAATAAATATTAATAAAATTTTTGTACATTTTATTTTATTATTATCAAAATAAAATTTTATTGAATAATCAAATAATAATTATTAATTATTATAATAACAAATTTGGACACAAAAAAAATCAATGTTATTGTTTAGCATTTGAAACAACAAATAAATGTTTTTACTCTTAAAAAAAATTATTATAATAAAATTATTGTCACAAAAATATATATTTTTGTAGAAAATATATTTTCAAAACATTTTTATTTTTCTGACACAAAAAATATTTTTTGCAAAAAATTTAAATGATATTCAAAAAAAACTATTAGTTTTGTTATAATATTAATAGACAATACATTATATATATATATATATATATATATATATAGATTTTTGTGTTGTAACGTTAAACGGCTCAATGATATTGACTTAAAAAGTATTTTTATTATTATATTATATATTATATAATACATTATTATTATAGACAATACAATACTGATTGATGTTTATTCACAAAAAAATAATAATTTAAAATTGTTTTTTCAACTTAACTTAGTTTTTATTATTTATTTTTTTAAAAAAGCGTTAAATGCTTATTGTGTTTATATACTGTATGTATATTAAGTAATTTATAGCATATTAGTTAAAAATAGTTTATTTTATTTATTTTTATATTTTTTGGATAATTATTAGTTTCGTTATTATTATTATTATAACTCAAGTGATGATTGTTTTACTTTCAACAACAAAATAAACTTTATATATATATAGATATCATATTATCTAAGCTCTGCTAAGTTTTTATTAAATCATATTAACTAACAAATAATAATAATAATAATAATTACATAATAACTTATTAGGGAAACAATTAATTTGTTGAAAATTTATATATATATATATATATATATATAATACAATAGTATTGTATTATTTTTGTTTTAAATATAAAAACTAAAGATTTTTTGGTTTTAATAGTCTTAGACAAAATAAAATATTATTATTTTTTTTCTAAAAATTTAAATAATAAATTATATACAATTTTTTTATAATTATTCAATTAAAAATTATTGTAAATTTAATAAAAATAGTTTTTATTATAACTATTATTTTTTTCCACTGAATTATGTACACTATATCATTAAATCAATTAAATAAAATAGTATTGTATTTAATTAAAATAAAAAATTTTGATATCATATTATTTAATAGTATATTAATATTTTATGTTTTATTAACCAAAAAAAATTAAATGTTTTTAAATGTTAAAATTTTTCTAATTAGTAATTATTATTAATAATTTTTTATTAAATAAATGATTCATTGATTTATTTTATATGATATTTAATAATAATATACTAAACACAGTATAAATTATATTATAATAACATTTGCTAAAAATTAAGTATTTTTCCTAATATTTAAAATTATTATAAAATAAATTTTTTCCCCATTTATATTGAATTTAAATATTAATGTTAATATATTATAGATGAGTATAAATAAAATTCATAGGTTTTTTTTTAAAATAATAATAATTTTTAACAATATTTTAATAGTTTTTTGAATATGTTTCAATACAATACAATATATTGAATATTAAAAATTAAATATATTATTAAAACAAAATATTAAAAATATTTATTGAAAAAAAATCAATTATTCATTAGTATTGATATTTAAAATTTTTTAAGCAAAATAATAGTTATTGCTAAAAAAGTTTATATATATATATATACAGTACAATATATATAATTATTTTTGAGTTAATATTAAATTGTTATATTTGACTAATTATTGAAAAACTTATTAACTATTAGTGTTATTACTACTATTGTGTTATATATATTAGTGATGATATACTGTAGATTAAACTGAGTAAAACAACATTAAAATATAATTTACATATAAAAGTTTATAATTAAAATTATATATATATATATATACAGTATAAGTAGCCAAACGTTTAGATATAATAAAAAAATAAAATAATAAGGCATTTGTTTTTTTTAAAAAAAGATTTTTAATTGACTATCATTTTTGTTTTACTTGAAAAAAACGTTTTAAAAATGCGTAAGTTTAATTTAATTAATAAAATATATATATATATATTTAATTATATATAATTAATAACTAAATTTAATTTCAATTAAAATTAGTTAATTATTAATTATATTTAATTGTATTAATAAAATATTAAATTAAATTATTAAGCAAATTAGTAATATATTATATATATATAATTGAAAAATTAAATTTATTAATTATTATTACTATACTATTATAATTGTGTTTTATATATTAATCCATTTTTTATTTATATATCAATAGCCCTATCAATAGCCAGTGTTGGATCAGGTGTTAGAGATATGAATCCCAAATATCTATTGCTACCAATGGTAGCCCTGTTTTCGTTGCATCTGATCGGGTATGTCCTCCACCACCACCTCCTACTCCAACAACATGTCATCAATAATTAAATATCTAATTATTATATTTAGTGTACTATATCTGGGAATACCGTTATTGAACAGAGATCTGGAGGCACCTCTGGCCGGTATGACTACCACTTCAACTACGGTAACGGACAGTCCGATTTCAATACTAGCCGACAACAGTTCAGTGGACAGTAGTCACAAACAATCGGCAAACTCAACATCGACACCGACACCATTGCCTCCTAAGCCAACTATTGATGAAAAAGGCTACTATTGTCTGTTCAAAAGCCGATGGCTTATAGCCTCCTATCTTATTGTTTGGTTGGTATCCCTATTGATTGAGACACTGGTTATCGGTTTTTCGTTGAGCGGTGTCGACAGTGTCGACCTGTTTCTCAAGTTTCTCTTGAAGATCAAACTGGGTATACATATATCGATACCATATATATAAATATACGTAAATAACACTTCCATCCCGTTCCCCACTGATATATATATATATATATATATAGGACTGTTGGCAATCGAGCTACTGGTGCTACTGATCAACACAATAATGATCGGACTGGAAATGGGTTACATTGCCTCACTGGACAACCGTTGTCCGACTGTCCTCATCGGCAAAGCTATAGCCGATGTGACCATCTTTTCCTGGATGTCCTACAGTATAATAGTCGTACTGATGGGCTGTCATCTGATGCAACAATGGTATAACCAACGAATCGATGCATCACTGGGCGATATACCGACGGCTGTCAACTATGGTGGCGGTGATGGGGGCGGTGGTGGACACCGTGTGTCGGCTTCCGAAAAGTATGTCCTGTATAAGCCTCGCAACTATAACCTTACCGGTTATAATACACCCCCGGCAACGCCCACCAGTTTGTATACAAGTCAGGCTACGCTTACTGAGCGCATGTAGATTATGTTGATTTTAATAGTATTTTTGACAACCCTCCCCACCCCACCCTTGGAGGTGATGATGATGATTAAGGGGGGGAGTATTTGAATAAAATATATTTGAAATTTTTGTTAATTGATATTTAAAAATTATTATATTGTAAAAATTGTATGATTTCCCCGCAACTCACCCCCTATCTACCCCCCTACACACACCCACTAAAATTTATATATGAATCCATATATTATAATAATTATTTGATGTAAATTTTTCTTATATTAAATCAAAAAAATTGTTTTGTATTGAATTTATTAGAAATATAAAATAATTGTTTAATTGTTTAATAAAAATAATAATAATAAACTTTGCTATTAATAAAAAATATTATTTTATGGGGGGGGGTTAATCAATAAAACAAAATAGTCACCCCATTAGACATCATATATATATATATCGTGTGTGTGTGTGTGTGTGTGTCGGCACTGGTATTGGTGATGACCACCAGTTTTTTTTAATACTTGACTATACTATGATGATATGCTTAATATACATCTATATTTTAATAATACAACTAAACGTTACAATAGTCAAGTGGGGGTAAAATTTTTAAATAAATTATTTGGTGTATATATATATAACAGTCAACTACCCCCCACAAAAAATAGTCACCCCCCACAAAAAATAGTCACCCCCTATATATGTGTCATATATTAAAAAAATGTATCTAGATGATTCATACAATAAAATATATATTTTTTGAAACATTATAATAAACTTTGTCTATATTTATTAGTCATCATTTAGACACACAATTAGACATTTTTTTATGGTGTGACCAATAAGTTTAACTATAATATATATATAATATATATATAGTATATATTAGTATAAATATATATTTAGCACATGTACTGTATAAAACCTATAGTAATTACAGTACAGTTTATATATATATACTGTATATATTATATATAATTACATGTGAAAAACAATTAACGGTAATTGTATCTAAAAATTGTGATTTTTTTGTGGTTTTATTTTTTTGTTACTAATTGCCGACAATTGACAACAACAACAACACCGGGATTAAAAAAATGCCAAATTTTAAGATACAGGTGCCGATAGGCTTGTCATTGATAATTCACGTAATCGGGTAAATGATTGATTGATAATAATTATTAATTAAATAATTAAATTTTTTGGGGGGTTGTTTGGGGGGTAACCAGTGTACTGATATTGGTCTGTTCGTTGACGTCGACAATTAACAAGGACCTGGCCTCCCGAGCCCAAGCCACTGGACCTCCCGTACCCGTACCTAATGTCGAGGAACCGGTAGCCGGTAACCTGGCGGCCAATATAACAACAACAACCACAACCACGGCCAACACTACCGCAAATCAATCGACAACATTACCGCCACCATCGACACTGCATACAGGAAAACCTGTTAGACAACAGTGTCTGACCACTGTATTGGCCTGTATTGGCGCCTATATGTTGGTATGGCTGACCTCAATAGTAGTCGAGTCGGTAATCTATGGCTATTCCATGTCCGCCGCCGACGCCGCAGACGCCGCCGAACTAATGAATTGCCGACAGTTTCGGCTAATGCTTATCAATAAATTTGGTAATTAATATCAACAACAAAAAATTAATTAATTATCAATAATATTTCCTCCCTTCTCCCTTTCCCCACCCCTACCCCCCCCCCAATAACAACAACAACAAAAATTATAGGTATACTAGTAGTGGAAATGTTGGCACTGATTATCGTAACGGAAGTCGTCGGCAATCGGATTGGCTATTATGACTCGGCTGATCCCGATGATGACCCCGGGTGTCGACAGTTGCCGATGACCGCTAAATTGATCCAATTGACTGTGGCCTGGTGGTCAATGTTCGGTACGGGAGCCATTATGATAATTATATACAAATTGTATACCAATTATATGGATACTGTGATTGATTATTATAGATATTATTGAATACTATATATATATAAACCTGTCCTCTAACCCTAACCCTAACACCCTGACCCCCTATCCCATACCCCTAACCTTTAAATATTAAGTTAATATATTGAATATATAATTCAATGAAACTGTTTGTTTTTTTTGTTGTTGCTAATTGACTACTATTTATATGATAGCATTTTAAATGTTAATTAATTTATTTTTTTGTTTTTTTTTGAATAAATAATTATTATAATGACACTGATACTATTGACTAAAAAAATATAGTATTATAGATATATTACTATTATATATATATATAATATATATCATATATGACTCCTTATATTTATATAATTTGATTTTCCTATTGTTTTATTGTGTGTTTAATTAATTAATAATTTTGAAATTAATTTGTTTGAATCATTTAATTTAATTATTAATTTAGTTATTTATCATTATAATTTAATTTACATTTTAATATATAATATTTATTTATAAATTTTTTTTAAAAAGAGAGATGCTATTAACAAAAAAATATATTAATTATAATTTAATATTATCATATATGCTCTACAAATATAACCAATAAAATATAAATAAATATATAATTAATTTTTTTTATTATAAATAACTAATCACTTTTGTTGCATTTTTTATGACTACTATTTTTTTTAAAATTTATAAAAAATATTTTAAGCAAATTAAAAATAATAAATAATACTTTTTTTTAATATTATGTATTTATAATATGTATTTATAATATTTACTTTTATATCCTATGATGATATGCTTAATAACATAAATATATATTAATATTTTTAATAATAGTTAACTACAACTATTAACGTTACAATAGTCAAATGGGGGCTAAAATTTTTGTATAAATTATTTGATGTTACTATATTACTACTAAATATAACAGTCAACTACCCCTCCCTCACAAAAAAAAATATTAGTCACCCCTCCCCCCCAATATATGTGTCATATATATATATATATATATATATTAAAAATGTATCTAGATGATTCATACAATAAAATATACATTTTTTGAAACATTATAATAAACTTTGTCTATATTTATTAGTCATCATTTAGGCACACAATTAGCCATTTTTTGTTGGTGTGACCAATAAGTTTAACTATAATATAATATATATATATATATATATATATATACGGTATATATATATATTAGGCTATATATATACATTTAGATAGATATCAATATATAAGTAAAAAATATATTTAGCACATGTAGTTATTATATTTTTAAAAAAAACCTATAGTAACTAAAATACATTTATATATATTATATGTGAAAAAAAAATCAATTCAATTGTATTTAAAAATTTTTGATTTTTTTGTGGTTTTATTTTGTGTTACTAATTGCCGACAATTGACAACAACAACAACACCGGGAGGGAAAAAAATGTCAAATTTTAAGATACAGGTGCCGATAGGCTTGTCATTGATAATTCACATAATCTGGTAAATAATTTGACTGATTTGAATGATAATAATTAATTAATTAATTAATTAAATTTTTTGGGGTTTGGTTGGTTGGTTGTGGGGGGGGTAACCAGTCTACTGGTATTGGTGTTTTCGTTGACGTCGACAATTCACGAAAACCTCCTGTCCTGCCGACCCATACCTAACTTAGAGGAACAGTTAGCCGCCAGTAACCAGTCGGCCGTCTTCAATAGCACCGTCACCAACACTACTGCCAACACTACCGCAAATCAATCACCGCCGCCATCGACACCGCATACAGGAAAACCTGTTATTATACAACAGTGTATGACCACTGTATTGACCTGTATTGGCGGCTATATGTTTGTATGGCTGACCTCAATAGTAGTCGAGTCGGTAATCTATGGCTATTCCATGTCCGCCGCCGTCGCCGCCGCCGACGACACCGAACTTATGAATTGCCGAAAGTTTCGGCTAATGCTTATCAATAAATTTGGTAATTAATTATCAATTATTTAATTAATTATCAATAATATTTCATCCCTCCCACCCCTACCCCCCCTCAACAATAAAATATTATAGGTATACTATTACTGGAAATGTTGGCACTGTTTGTCGTAACGATAGCCGTCGGCAATGGGGTTGGCTTTTCTGAGTTGGCGGCCAATGATGATGACAATCCACTTTCTGAGTGTCGACAGTGGCCGATGACCGCAAAATTGGTCCAATTGACTGTGGCCTGGTGGTCAATGTTGGGTACGGTAGCCATTATGATAATGTTATACAAATTGTATACCAATTATATGGGTACTCTAGTTGAGTATTATAGAAATTATTTAGCCAAATAAATCTATATACCTGTCCTCTAACCCTAACCCCTACCCCCATACCCCCATACCCTTACATATTAACTATATATATATAATTCAATGAAACTGTTTTTGTTTGTTTGTTTTTTGTTGCTAATTGACTACTATTTATATGATAGCATTTTAAATGTTAATTAATTAATTTTGTTTGTTTGAATAAATAATTATTATTATAATGACACTGATACTATTGACTATAAATAAATATAGTATTATAGATATATTACTACTATCATATATATATATATATCATATATGACTCCTTATATTTATATAATTTGATTTTCCTATTGTTTTTTTTGTTGTATTAATTAATTTTGAAATTAATTTGTTTTGAATCATTTAATAATTTTGTTACAATAAATTTGTGTGTGTTTTTTGATTTAATTGATTTATTATTATAGTATATTTTAATTTATATTTTAATATATGGTATTTATTTATTAATTAATTTTTTTAAAGAGAGATACTATTAACTAAAATATATTTATTAATAGAAAAAATTAATATTTAATAATTAATTAATTATAATTTAATATTTTCCTATATGTTTCAATAAACTTAATAAATAAATTTATAATTAACGTTTTTTTTGTTTATAAATAACTAAAAACTTTTGTTGCATTTTTCATGACTACTATTAATTTTTTTTAAATTTAAATTTTTATCTTTTAAGCAAATAAAAAAAAATTAAATAGATACATAATTTTCAATAATTTAACAAATTTTATTATCATTATGCTATTTATGTTATCAATAAATGTTAATCAATTAATTTATTATTATTTTTTTTTGTAGTTAAGGGCACATAAAAAAATGTTAATCAATGGTTGTTATCAAATAAATTTATATTAATTTAATACATTATACTATATATTATATTATTTAATACTATATTTATAACAAATTATGAAAAACATTAATTTATATACTAATAGTTTTTTTTAAATATTATAATTATTATTATTTAACATTAGAGTCACAAAAAAATATTATGTTATTTTTGTTGTCGTTTTTTTTTAAAAATAGTAATATCTATTTAAATTTTTTCAAAAAAAAAAATATATTAAATTTTGCAATTGATTAACAAATTATTGGGTCAATTAATTATTTTGCAAAATAAAAAACCTTTAGGTGTTATCATATTATTATTATATTTATTTTTGAATCTTATAAATTGATAATCATAAATTAAAAATTATATATTTATCACTTATTTTAAAAAAAATGTATTATTAAACTAAACAAAATTTAAAATTATGCTGAAAATTATGCTGAAAATCATTAACACTAAATATACAGTAATAACTCAATATTGTAACTTTATAAATTATTTTTTAAATATATTATTATTTTATTATATATATTTTTTATAAGCTTTAAGCAATTAATTTTGTAAAAATATTAGAAATATGTTACTAAATAATTAAATTTAATTTTTTTTTAAATAAACTAAATATTTATATTAAAAAAATATGTTTGAAATTAAAAAATTTAAAGTAAATTAAACTAATTAATTATGAAACTTATAACTAGCAAAATATTATAAAAACTAAAAATATTTAATATATATAATTAAATTATATAAGTTTATAATAAATAAATAAATAAAATAATAAATAATATTTTTCTAAATAATTATTTCAATAATTTTAGTAATAACTTAATTAGTATTGTAAAAAAAATTTATTACTATATTATATCAACATTATTATTATTATGACTAAATTATTATTTAGATTAGCATTTATTTTGTTATTATTACTATTATAATTTAAACATTAATTTGTATTATTTATTTTAATATTATTATTATTATTATAGTTGAATAACTTTATTATTTTTTACATTTATAAAATAATTTAAGCTATACACATTCAATAAACTTAATGAATATATTAAAATAATAATTATTATTAATATTATAACAAATAATTTACAATAACCAACAACTAATAAACTTATAAAAAATAATAATAATAATAATATATTTTTTTGTTATATCATTATTCATACACTGGTATGTATTGCCAACACAACGATAATGATAATGATTAATCAATTATTATAAATAATAATAATTAATATTTAACTATTATTATAATCATATAAACTACTTATTATATTGTAATACACACACAAACACACAAATTTAAATTAAATTAAATTAAACAAATAATTTTATTAACTAATTATTAATTATAATATAACAAACAAACAAACAAACAAAAATACAGTAGAAATTATTATATATATATATTTAATTAAAAAATATTTATATAAAAAAAATAATATAATTGTATTTTTAATTTTATAACTTATATATAAATAATAGTAAGTTATAGCTCAGGTATATATATCCAGGTAATGGTATATTATAAGCTATTAATCAGCCAAACAGCAGCCCAGACAACAACCGGTCAACAGTGCCAGACAACAACAATCGCCATCAGCACCACCGGTATTACCGCCACCACCACGTCCTCCGTGATGGTCATCCAAGTGACAGTGTTTGTCCCGATGATGGCGTTCCTCGATAATGACTGTAGTCTGCGGCGGCGGTACTGATGGATGTCCACCACCGCAACCACTACCATATTCACCGTACGGATACTGGTGTTGTTGTTGAGGCTGTCCATAGACTGGCTGCGGCTGGTGCTGCCAACCGGGTGCTGGTTGTTGTTGTTGTATATAGACTGGCTGTTGTTGTGGCTGGTATTGAACTGACTGTCCCCACGGCGGGGGCGGCGATGCTGCTGATGATGATGGCAGTGGTTGTTGATGTTGTTGTGTCACATATCCCGGTCCATCCCTGAGCTGTGTAGGCAACTGTTGATATATAGTATCGGATTTAGTATACGGTGGCGGTAGGCCAGGCTCGGCAACTATGGGTGCCGGTTGCATAGTGTATATATATATATAGGGAGGGGTGGGTGATAGGGTAAGTTAGGTGTATTAATAAATAGTTGGTTACTATAATAATAATAATTAAATTTAAAAACCAATTATTATTAGTATTTAATTACACTTTTGTTTTATTTCAAAACAACAACAAAAAAACTTTTTTTTCAAAACTATTTATTATTATTTAATTAATATTTTTTAATAAAAAAACTTTATATCATAAATATAATTATTAATTAATTAATTAATTAATTAACTTGATAATTTGTGTGTGTGTGTGTGTGTTTCAACTTGGTTAAACTTGACATTCAAAAAAATAATATAAAAATTATAATAAAAATTATAATAATAAATGTTGTATTAATTATAATTAAATTGAATCCCAAATTTACAACAAAAAATATGTATTAAACTTTCAAACAATTTTTTAGTTTATGATTTGTAATATTAAATAATTTTTTTTTATATATTAAATATATTCAATATGCAACTCATTATAACTTATAATAATAATAATAATAATAATTAATATTTAGTTAGAAGTTATGCGATTTATTTTATATTATATTTTATTAGTTAAATGATGTGACAATTTTTTTTGTTGATTATTATTGAAATATACATACAGTGTATTGGCAACAAAAAAATCATAAATTTTTTCAAAGTTATTAGTAATAAAACTATTTTCTTTACGACAATATAATGTAATAATAATTATTGTTTTTTTTATTGTTGTCTATGTTTAGGTATGTCTCACAAAAAAAAATTACTAAAAAAATAAGTTATAATCAAAATAATATACGCATTAATATAATAGTAGTAATAATTATTAGTAATTTTTTTTAATGAAATTTCAATATTATAGACATTTTTTTATAATCACTACGAAATAACAATTATTTATTTCATTTTTTTTAAATACAATAATATTTAATAAATTTTATATATTAATAATTAATAAATTAAAATAAAATTATTACATACGTATAAAAATACTTATTTACATAAAAAAAAAGTTTGCAAATATATATACAGTATATACTATTGTGTATATATATTATGTATTATTGCATAAAATTAATTACAATTATTATATTATTTTTTTTGTGTGTAAATACTGTAACTCTTGCAGTATATACTGTAATAAACTGTATATATATTTAGAGATATATATTATAAATAAGTAAAATATAAAATACTTTCTGTCTGTCTGTCTCTCTCTTTCTATCTCTCTGTCTCTCTATCTATCTCTCTGTCTATCTCTCATTCTGTCTCTCTGTCTCTCTCTCTCTCTCTCTCTCTTTCTGTCTCTCTGTCTCTGTCTCTGTCTCTCTCTTTCTATCTCTCTGTCTCTCTATCTATCTCTCTGTCTATCTCTCATTCTGTCTCTCTGTCTCTCTCTCTCTCTCTCTCTCTTTCTGTCTCTCTGTCTCTGTCTCTCTCTTTCTATCTCTCTGTCTCTCTCTTTCTGTCTCTCTGTCTCTCCGTCTCTCTCTCTCTGTCTCTCTCTCTCTGTCTCTCTCTCTCTGTCTCTCTATCTATCTCTCTGTCTCTCTCTTTCTGTCTCTCTGTCTCTCCGTCTCTCTCTCTCTCTGTCTCTCTCTGTCTCTCTCTGTCTCTCTCTCTCTCTCTCTCTCTMTCTCTCTCTCTCTCTGTCTCTCTCTTTCTGTCTCTCTGTCTCTCTCTCTATCTATCTCTCTGTCTCTCTCTTTCAATCAATCAATACCAACAACACCCGTCCCAATGGTTTAGAGACCAACATATAAGACAAACAGTGGTCATAACAGGCGGATAACAACAACAACAGCCGCCACCGCCACCTCCTAAACAGCACCACTCGATAAACGACTCATCGGTATAGTCATCGTCGACGGTCTGGCGGTCATACTTATCGGCGGCGGCATCTGTAATGTCCTCATCAATGGTAGTCATCAACTGTACAGTTCCGTAGGACTGGCCGTTTGGGTCGCACTGTTGCCGATGTAATGCCAGTGACTTGTTGTCGATATCACTACTACTACTACTGTCTATAATGTATTGCTGTTTAGGTAGTGGTGGTAATGATGGTGATGGTTGACTGTCTATTATTATGGTTACAATAGGTGTAGTAGCAGCACCTGGATCTGGTATGGATATCGGTGCT